TTAAAAGGGAGAGGTACAAACCTAGCTGTGAAATGAGGTGCTCAATAGACATTGCGATTTTGTAGGACGGTTTTCCGTCATGCTATTGTGATTGTTTGTCTGGTTGTCCAATTCTAGTGTTGTGGGGACAGATAGCTATACGTTTTGTTGCAGTGTTCTGGTATATCCTGGTTATGATGTTGTGGGGGCGTTGTAGGTATACTGGTTTAGTCTGTTATGTATATGCGTGTGATTTTGGTGGTAGGTATAATGGTTTAGTCTGTTATGTATATGCGTGTGATTTTGGTGGTAGGTATAATGGTTTAGTCTGTTATGTATATGCGTGTGATTTTGGTTGTAGGTATACTGGTTTAGTCTGTTATGTATATGCGTGTGATTTTGGTGGTAGGTATAATGGTTTAGTCTTTTATGTATATGCGTGTGATTTTGGTTGTAGGTATACTGGTTTAGTCTGTTATGTATATGCGTGTGATTTTGGTGGTAGGTATAATGGTTTAGTCTGTTATGTATATGCGTGTGATTTTGGTTGTAGGTATACTGGTTTAGTCTGTTATGTATATGCGTGTGATTTTGGTGGTAGGTATACTGGTTTAGTCTGTTATGTATATGCGTGTGATTTTGGTGGTAGGTATAATGGTTTAGTCTGTTATGTATATGCGTGTGATTTTGGTTGTAGGTATACTGGTTTAGTCTGTTATGTATATGCGTGTGATTTTGGTGGTAGGTATAATGGTTTAGTCTTTTATGTATATGCGTGTGATTTTGGTTGTAGGTATACTGGTTTAGTCTGTTATGTATATGCGTGTGATTTTGGTGGTAGGTATAATGGTTTAGTCTGTTATGTATATGCGTGTGATTTTGGTTGTAGGTATACTGGTTTAGTCTGTTAAGTATATGCGGGTAATTTTGGTGGTAGGTATAATGGTTTAGTCTGTTATGTATATGCGTGTGATTTTGGTGGTAGGTATACTGGTTTAGTCTGTTATGTATATGCGGGTGATTTTGGTGGGAGGTATACTGGTTTAGTCTGTTATGTATATGCGGGTGATTTTGGTGGGAGGTATACTGGTTTAGTCTGTTATGTATATGCGTGTGATTTTGGTGGGAGGTATACTGGTCTAGTCTGTTATGTATATGCGTGTGATTTTGGTGGTAGGTATACTGGTTTAGTCTGTTATGTATATGCGGGTGATTTTGGTGGGAGGTATACTGGTTTAGTCTGTTATGTATATGCGTGTCATTTTGGTGGTAGGTATAATGGTTTAGTCTGTTATGTATATGCGTGTGATTTTGGTGTTAGGTATAATGGTTTAGTCTGTTATGTATATGCGTGTGATTTTGGTTGTAGGTATACTGGTTTAGTCTGTTATGTATATGCGTGTGATTTTGGTGGTAGGTATAATGGTTTAGTCTGTTATGTATATGCGTGTGATTTTGGTGGGAGGTATACTGGTTTAGTCTGTTATGTATATGTGTGTGATTTTGGTGGTAGGTATACTGGTTTAGTCTGTTATGTATATGCGGGTGATTTTGGTGGGAGGTATACTGGTTTAGTCTGTTATGTATATGCGGGTGATTTTGGTGGGAGGTATACTGGTTTAGTCTGTTATGTATATGCATGTGATTTTGGTGGGAGGTATACTGGTCTAGTCTGTTATGTATATGCGTGTGATTTTGGTGGGAGGTATACTGGTTTAGTCTGGTATGTATATGCGGGTGATTTTGGTGGGAGGTATACTGGTTTAGTCTGTTATGTATATGCATGTGATTTTGGTGGGAGGTATACTGGTTTAGTCTGTTATGTATATGTGTGTGATTTTGGTGGTAGGTATGTGTGGGAGTGTGAAGAGGTGTGGGGACAAGGCTCCATTTTTAAGGTCTGTCTGATATCTCAAACCAGCCCTTGCATGACGTATTCACGTTCAGGGTCGTCTCCTTGCTGGAGCTGTGTTTAGTAGGAATGTGCTTTGTAGGGATTCTTTGCGTCACACCTCTCTCTGGGGTCGTGGAAAAAAAAAACTATTTCTCATCTCCCCCCCCCCCACCTATGGTTCATCCCCAGGTGGGGGAAAGGGGTTCCCCTACAGGGAGATGCCTGTATTAGAGTGGGTTTATTGCACTACAGGGGTTGTAATCTTATACAAACATTTTTAACCCTTTCACCTCTGACATCAGTTTTCCATAATCCTTACACACTCTATATATATATAGCTGTGACTCCCAAGTTGGGGGAGGGTCTTCAACAGATTCCAAGTGGAACACCTGAGATCACTGTCCAGAAGAGTGCAGTTCTAGGAACAGCTAAGATACTGCGCTGAACCTTCAGACTCCCCGACCACTGATAGAGGACCTGAGAATGAGGAATAAAAAATATACCATCCAAACGATGAAAACAAAATCAATGTATTGGGATAAAGTGAAGGCAGAGAGGCATAGGACATTTAACCCCAGGGGGAGTATGTGCTGTATGCAACACAAACTAATGTTTAGTTATGGGCCTCTGGGGTGGAGCATTTGGAGAGTAGGGCGGGCAGGTGCTCCACTCCTCAGTTTATATGCAACTGGGAGAAATAAGGTCCAGGCCATGGTTTTGGACTGTCTCCAACCTACTGCTCAGCTGCAGATAATCAGCTGCAGCAGTGGGAATAAACCCGTCCCTACTAGGCAGGTAAAGGGGGATTGCTGGCTTCCTCCCTTGAAGCAGGTAGGAGAGACGCTGTTCTCTCCTGTGAGAGAGACAAGGTTTAAGGTGACTGAGCACTGGGAGTCGAGAAGGATAACAGTCAAGGTGACTGAGCACTGGGAGTCGAGAAGGATAACAGTCAAGATGACTGAGCACTGGGAGTCCAGAAGGATAACAGTCAAGGTGACTGAGCACTGGGAGTCCAGAAGGATAACAGTCAAGGTGACTGAGCACTGGGAGTCCAGAAGGATAACAGTCAACGTAACTGAGTGCTGAAGTACAGAGTGTTGTTATTTAACAAGGTTGGTGAAACCTATAATAGGTTTAAGTTTATCCCTTTGATAGAGAGGGAAATTGAAAGTCAGTCAATGCTCAGACGAGCTAGGTTTTTGTTTAAAAGGAAACCTGTTACATTATTGTATCTTTGGTTGAGTTGCTGTCTCCTGTGTGGAATTACCAATAAAGTGCCTGGATTATGTCAAAATCAAAGGACTGTGCATGTTGTTTACCCAAGAGGACCGTGCTAACTGCAAACAAGGATTACAGTATATACACAGTGTTAAACTGTTAATGAATGGTTTAACTCCAAAGATGGCGCCTGTCCACTCTGCCCAGGAGCTTCCTATGAAGGCCCACAGTTTCAACCAGGAAGCCTCAGAATGAAAGTAAATGATTTTTTCCATTTTTTACTCAAGGAATATTTCAACTGCAACTTGACAACCAATTGCCCCAGGCTACAGCAGGCCACCAGCAAATCTTTGGGTTTTCTGGCCGGCCTAGCAGAACTCAACCAGTAAGGACTGCTTATAGTCACGACCATAGTTACCCTGGTAGTTCCGCTAGGGCCTTGCTCCCACCTGAATGGGTTAATTTGGGTTAATGCCTTTTTGGTGAATAGCGTTTCTTCTACAAGTATTTTTATGTTTTTAAACAAAGCAGCTGGTTTCCTCCATGTGTGGAAGAAAGTGTTTAAGATGTGTATACTGATTCCAAATGGCAGGCTGACAATTGAATTTCTTGCCCTGCACACAGAAATAGAAAGGGTGCTGCAGATGTGACTCACGGACGATCCTAATTATATACGTGTCTGAAAGATGTGGCAGTAGCAACACGATAACTAAACTTCAAGGCCTTCCAACTCTTAAAATACAGTTAGTGCGTAAACAGGCTCTGATCCACCTCATTGCTAGAAAAAGACGCAGTGAGCCATGCCGGACGTGGGCCACGCATTTCTTGTGTGACTCGGATGAGTAGCTTGAGTTGGGGATCGGGATTGGATGACAGGTATTTGTCTAAAATAAGATACTGTGGCTATTTTTACACTTACTCAGGGCCCATTCACAGAGTTTAGCAGCCACAGGGTCATAGTCCATTGTGACTCACTGAATTAAAACTAAGATGAAACTAAATCTAAAGAAAAGTATTGGGTAAAGCTGAATG